GAGATTGCACCCACAAGAATTCGCGGGGCACTTAACATACTCTTCCAGCTAAATATCACCATTGGCATTCTTTTCGCAAATCTTATCAATTCTGGAACTGCCAAGTAAGCCACCATCCTCCCTAATATTCCATTAATCATCACCGGTAATTAGACACAAGTGATTAATCAATGTACGTTTTCTGGCACAGAATTGAAGGGGGATATGGATGGAGAGTGTCACTAGGTTTGGCTGGCATTCCAGCAGGTATGCTGACTGTTGGGTCTCTCATTGTGGTAGACACTCCTAACAGTTTGATCGAACGAGGTAAGTTGGAGGAAGGAAAAGCAGTTCTTAAAAGGATTAGGGGTGTTGACAATGTGGATCCAGAATTCTTAGAGATTGTGGAGGCAAGTCGTGTGGCAAAAGAAGTGAAGCATCCTTTCAGAAACCTCCTTAAGCGTAGGAACAGGCCTCAATTGGTCATTGCAATTTGGATGCAGGTGCCGCAACTATACTAGAACTTGTGCTAACTAAGGCAATTCAAAATCTTAGTTACATTTAACACGTATCATATAGTCTCACATGTTATGTTTTTCATGCCTACAGATTTTCCAGCAATTCACTGGCATTAACGCAATCATGTTCTACGCTCCAGTTTTGTTCCAGACCTTGGGATTTAAGAGTGATGCTTCCCTCTACTCAGCTGTTATTACAGGAGCTGTCAATGTCCTCTCAACCGTTGTATCAATATACTTTGTCGACAAAGCTGGTCGGCGCGTGCTATTGTTAGAAGCCGGTGTCCAAATGTTCCTTTCTCAATTGGTGGTTGCAATAATAATGGGACTCAAAGTGAAGGATCACTCTAACAACCTTGGCCATGGCTTGGCAATTCTTGTGGTGCTTATGGTTTGCAGTTTTGTTTCATCCTTCGCGTGGTCTTGGGGACCTCTCGGGTGGTTGATCCCTAGCGAAACGTTCCCATTAGAGGCCCGCTCAGCAGGCCAGAGCGTGGCTGTCTGTACCAACATGCTCTTCACCTTTATCATAGCACAGGCCTTCCTCTCAATGTTTTG